CCGTTTATTTTTCCACGTTTATAGCCAAGGCGAACGAGTAACCGCCGAACGTTTCGACATGCAGACAGGACAGCTCGAGGGTTGGACACATCGAGTGTCAAAATATGATGCTCTTGTAATAGAGCCAACACGTCTTTTGCAACGGTTCGTGTGCAGGAAAGTCGTCCATCGCGCACAAACGTTTGGATACCCTCAATATATTGTACAAAATGACTAATTATACATTTATAAAGGTTTACCACTGATTTTTGACCCGATCGCGGCGATGGCGCGTCTGTCGGCCAAGGAGCTGCGTCCTTCCTTCGACAGGCGAGCTATGGTACGCCAGTGGCAGTCATACAGCTGGACCTTGAAATCCCCATACGGAAGCTTGCCGTCGACAGAGACTTCTAAGAGGCTCTCATAGGCTCCGCGCCTCTGGTCGGCCGTGAGGTTCTTTGTGCGTCTGACGTGTCAGATGATGGGCTCATGGCAACGCTGGCGTTGTGGCAGTGTGTAGAGGGTTCGTGTGATGCGTGTGTGTATCTTAAGTGGAAATTCTCAAATGAATGAGTGACAGGTCAAAATCATGAGCTCTTTGGCTTCCTCCACTTTGGTGGTCTACGTATGTCTTGGGAAGTATTGTTCTGAAAACAGTCAATCAAAGTGCTTATCTTGCGCTTGCGATTGCACCAATCAGATCGAAAATACAGCCAAAAATTGAAAAATCTTTTTCAATTTTTGGCTGTATTTTCCCGCCAATCGAAAAGTCAACGTGACAAACATTACGGACCAGAGTAGTACATAGAGGGAACGGCGGAAGTTCTTCCCCCGTGGTGCTAGAGAAATATCTTGACAATGTATGATGCAATATTATCACGAAGTTGGGTTTTGCTGGAAATTATATTACATTCATCTTTTTCAGCTGATGAGGACAGCGTTTTTATTGGTCAAAATTATGGAATTTCGACTTCAACGAGTGCTCGCGACCAAGTTGTTGCGACCGAGTTAGAAGTACAACTAGTACATTCACAAATAGTTAATACATCCAGTAAACCAAACAAACCGTCACTGAGACAGAGCATTCGTGGACGAGAGATTGAAAACCCCACAAGGTATTTCTTTCCAATCGGCAATCCTTCGGGGTATGATGGACAGCCTCTTCTCGGCTGCAAACACCACATAGTTTTCGCAGCGACACTTGCTGGTAGATCAGCTTGACCATCTGATGGCCTCGCGTTCAAAGTGTGACTCGACCTGTCCTTTTGTCTCGTATATATGGGATATTGTTTTGTATATTGTATATATGTACTGTATGTATTACTTCTCAAATTTGTTCAGATTCTTCTTCAGCGAGTCATAATTTGGACAAAAAGTACAGGGCAGCGTTTTCGCTGCTGTAAACCAATGTTACATGAAATCGAGAGGGGTGTTAGTGCATTTTGTGAGCAGTCTGCGGTTTTCAATTTATATTGCGCGTTGTTGAAGTTCATTGTTGTTCAAAACAAAGCACCAGGCATATCTGTTGTGAGTGAACGAATAAACGCCCGACTAACAACGACGAAGGTAGAATGCATGTTTTAACTTAATTAATTATTGGTAGAAGTAACCTTCTTGGTGCGATATTAAGATGAAACACAATCGATCTGGTGCGATGTATGACGTTGCTGGAATTCGAATGAAATGGTAATGGTTAATGTGGGGTCACAGCGAATGACAGCGGGTGCCGAAACCGCTGAGCCAAGAGGCAATCTTACTTTGGCATCTTGTGCACCTAGGTTGATCATTTAAGGATAATACCATAAAGCACTAGGATTATAGCAAACTAAATATCAGTAACAATGTGTTTGGTTATTGTTTGACGACTGCAAGGTCAAGTTGTATCGTATCATGTGCTTGGACGTGGATAATATTGTCATCGATTGGCCACAAATATTTTTAATTTCATGAGACTCCATAATATTAATATTCCAAAAGTTTGGTCGAGTACCACGGGGGAAGGATTTCCGTCGTTCCCAGTATCGCGATTGTATGACTGCAACAGTACTGTAGTTGTACGCGAACCCATCAACGATTTCATTACTGAACGAACGACTGAAGTGAACCGGGAAAAACTCGCAAGCGTTGTAAGGTAACGACAGAAAAATTGACCCAGTGCTACTACCTTGTTGTCTTGAAATTTGTAATGGAAATATATTAATTGGTGATGGTTTTTGATCGTGATTGAATTGTTCGCCATATTTGCCACTGTTGTTTGATTGGACAAAAATGAACATTTTCGACAACGACGAGATGAAACAAAGTATTACACGACGAAATTTTCAATTACTGTGAGTGTAATTACTGCGAAACGAAATATTGCGCAAGTTAAGGGGCATTGGGGACACCAGGGATTGCTTTCTCAAATGAACGGCGGATCAGTGAAGTTGGTATCTCTTCCCCATCTGCAATCGTGCGCTTGATCATGGCCAGGCGCTTTTCTGCCGCTGTCGTGACAGGTGCTACTTGTAGCCACTTCGAGCGCAACTTGCTCTTCAGAGACCCCATCACACCCTCATC